AACCCTTCAGCCACTACATGGAAGAGCTGGGGCTCAGATATTCCAACTCCCTCCTCTCCTTCCTCCACTAGAACAGAGCCTCCCCCAGGGCCATACACAGATCCAGCCCATTATGTTTTCCATTTTCAATTATCTTCATTAAGAAATGCAACCTTGATAGGTTCTTTAAAAGAGGAGATCCAGCCTTCGTGTAAAAGGGGGTTTGGGGCTGGATCCCAGTAACTGCGCTTGGTACATCAGGAGGGGGTTTTATAAGGGCTGGGAAGGGGGCACTTCAGGCGAGGGAAGAGCTTCTGCAAAGACACTGTGGTGGGAATAAACCTTACAGATTAGAAAAAGCCCATGTGTCCAGAGAAGAGAGAGCAAGGGCCGAGCCATGGAGAGGGGCTCAGCAGCATGGGAATAAGTCCTGTGGGCCTTAGGACTTCATTCTGAAATTGATAAGTCATCAGAAGATTTCAAGCAGCAAAGAATTTGCTCTGAGGTATAATTTTCTAAAGCTCACTCTGGCTGCTCTGTGGGAGATTATTGGTAAATATAAATGAGTAACTGGGAAAATTGAATAAGATAACAAACATAGTTAACAAAGAACTTTCAAAGTGCTAATCAAATGATACCTATGAATAGGCCAATGACTCCTCATCAAATGAAGTCAAATAATGAGGATATGTCTGTTAACAGTATAAAAGCTATGAAAAAGCAGGCGAAGTGCTTCTCTGAATTTTAGGTTCCTTGTCAATTGAGCAGTATACTACTATGTCCATCCAGAGATGTTCATGAAGATGAATGAAAGTGTCTAGCTCAGTACCTGGCCCATGGTAAATGTTCAGCCAAATATTAGTCTCCTGTTCTACATGACTCCACAAATAAAAATCAGTTGATATGTACAAAGTCTGAGAATTTAACAAGGCTAAGACCTTTGGGTGGAAGTAAAAAATTAACATGGAAATTAGAGACATCCCACTTAATAGCCTGATTCTACACAGTGATAATTCTTTATACTCCCTGAATTTGTAAAGCATTTTACATACACATCCCCTCTAATACAAAATATGGTTTTCGGTCTTAATACCTAATGCAAACTCAACACTCTTGTAATGAGTGCTGTGAAATCCTCGCCTACTCAGCTGACCCTTTCTGACCCTTTGTCGTAATCCTACTTCCTTTGCCTTGGCACTTTTCTAAGGTATCAATTGGCTTCCGTGTCCTGAAATACTTGAATATTTTGATATAATTTCCCTTTTTTGATGGACAGATTTATTTTCTATCATCTTTAATGAAATTTCCAGAGATAGGCTGTAGGTAGTTCTGTTAATGAGATTTCTGTTTGTTTCTCTTTTGCAAAAGAACCCTTTGGATCAGCACTATGTCATTTGAAGTCACTAGAATTACGGTCATCTAATGCAAACTCAATCATTCCAATCTAAGCTCCCTGGAGACACAAGGCTAATGTGTACCTAGTTATTTTAGTAGTAATTCGCATGTCCCGATCTAGTTATTTTCTTTGATTCTACTTATTTATTAATTTGCATCATAACTGATTAATTAAATTGATTAATTGTCTTGATGTCTGGAATACGAAGTTTTAAAAGCCAGAAGTTTTAAAAGTTAGCTAGGATCCATTACAAAGAAAAGGATTTATACTTCATATGAATAACAAAATAGATCATTTCTAGAATTCTCCTTTTTAAAAAAAATGTATTTCTACTACTGTGTACCTTGTATCCCAGATAATGCTCAGAACAATAGGCTTTTTGATTGATCATTTACTTAACATCCATAGCTGCGATCTACAAGATAACATATAATTAACAACTGTCTTTTAGTGCTTCGCACAGTAGACCCCAAAACAATTGATGAATTTTTAATTATAATACACATTTACTCCTAGACAGTGTAAAACGTTAGTCTGAGAAGGAAACTGCACCCTATCCAAAACCTACCAATAATCTGTTTTCTTGCCTTAGATTTTCTTAACCCTGTGGACCTCAAATTCAATTGGATGTCAGAACCAGCTGGAGAACTTAGTAAATATTCAAATGCCCAGGCCCCATCCTACTTCAATAAGCCTGGTCTTCTCTGCTCTTTAATAGTGCAGGTGATTCTGATGCTCAACAAAGTTAGAGAATCACTGACTTAACCTTTGAGATTTTAATCCCTCTAGAAAAAATATATCTCATTGATTTGTGTTTGAGGAACCAAAAGAGAAAAGCATTAGACATAGATATAACAGGAAATTCCTGAAAACTATTATCGCCAAGCAAACATATATGGAGGTAAATTATAGTTCGTCCCAATGACAGCATACCCAATAGGCAGAACCTAAGGAGCCTGGTGTGGTAGGTGTCTTATCCCTCCTTGGGAATGAAATAGGAATGCTTTGTTCCCTGCCCCCCACCATTTTAGAGAGAATGAGAATCAAGAATCTTGTATAAATCTCTCTTGAGTTTTCTCATGACTCAGCCAGGACTTCTCAGTCCCCAGGTTTCCCAGCAGTGCTCCCAACCAATAAAACTGCCAATTAAGCAACTGAATATCATTATCATGAATGTAATTACAGACAGAAATTATGAGCTTGCAAATGCCTTCCATGAATAAAGCCCTTTTCTCAAACCATTTCACCTTCTTGTCTTAGGAAAATGGAAGGCAAGCCTATCCTCTGCCTCACTCCAAACATTATTTCCCCTGCTTAGAAGAAACCTCACTCTTGCTGGCCCAGGGGAAATGCTGAGCTAGCTTCAGTAGGCTGTGCTCTCCGGAGGAATGTCCTCTTGGGTAGAGTCCCTTTCAGCATCTCTCACCCAAGCATGTTCGCTAACTCCCTTCACTAGGGAGCAGTGACTACTCAGTTTGGTTGTATGTCTTAATTTCTGTTCAGACAGGGGAATTAATACCAAATTTTCAGAATTTTTTTCAGGAAAAAAAAAAGAAATATCAGAGGTTTTACAAAATAGTGACAACTTAACATTGCTTAAAATGGAGCTTTATAGGATGCAATTCGCCGAGGACTTAGAGAGTTCCTGAAAATAAAATAGACATCACAGAAACATGCATGAGTGAGAAGTATAATGAATCTCTTTTGGCCCAGAATTAACTCTTGCATTCAGTAATTTTATATTTAACTCATGAAAACCTCAAACCCTCATGGATAATAGAGACTTGAAATGAATACTACATAGATATGTTTAGTCTGAAATGTAATACCATCTCTCAAGATCTTATTCTGTTGTTTTCTTTTAATGGCTGGTGAGATTGGTGCCTGTGATTGTACCAGTAGCTGGCATGGTTGAGTCCAGACCTTTTATGATTCACCATGCATTGAAGAATGTCGCATAAACTGTTAGGAGAAAAGACCCAAGTTTATCTAACTGACCTCATACAATACCTAACACAGCTCTTTGCATAGAGTGAATTTTCAGGGCCCTTCTCTGAATAAGATCAAGTGTTATACCCAAGAGCTATCATATTGTATCATTTTTTAAAGGGATTATTGCTTACCGGCCAAGTTAAGATATTTCAAGCCATGGCATTTCCATTTACTATGACAAAGAAATCATGTGTTATAGCTTTATTGTTGTAGTTGTTCACAGCCTTCGGCTGGAACAGAAATGGAGTGTCTGGGTACCAGAATTTTCACATAGTAACCTGAGGGTAAATGTAACTTCCAAAAGTGATTCAGAGTAGGTTACACTTTCAGAGAAACCATACTAACCAAAATCAGCTGAAGACATCTAGTAGCTTTAGAGAGGGTGCTTATGAAAACCTAAACCATTTTTAACCCTTGTGTTAAATAATTTAAAATTCATTTTAAATGTTTGAAAGGCAGCTTAAAATTCCCTTAAAATTCATATTATGCACAGATCAGGATGAACTTGTCTATCTAATATGGATATCTGTGGTCCTTTGGTAAATTCCGTTTTTAAAACTTCACTTATAAATTATAGTCTTTCAATCACTGTATATGATCACTTTAAAAGTAGAACTCTATTATATTTTTTCTCATTTCAACAGATAGTAAGCTAAGAACATCTGGAAATATGAATGACTAGATGGGTTATGTTTTTGATGTGTATGCATATACAAATATATATATTTGCTTGCTCATTTTCACTCTCTACCTTATATCCATGTAAAGATATTCAAAGAGGTAAAATTTGCCACCAGGGGAGGTTAGCGTGAGAAAGTTTTCATTATGTACTGCCATTTTTTCCCAATTTCTAGAGGGCAGAACTTCAAGTCCCTATAAATTGAATCAAAAACAACATAATATACATAAATAATTTGCCTGTACCTCATCCAAAGAGATCTGGAGCTCATCAGTCTATCTTTAGGACTGTTAATATACCCCAAAACTAAAGCATTATCTGCTTTTCTTCATCATCGGATCACATTGCCAATTTGAGGCTACACTGAAATCATTTACAGAATTTCTATTTGAAGATCCAGCCTCCTTTTTTTAGGCCATTAGGGGTAGAAGGTAGTAAGGAGAACAGAGTTGTCACTCAGCGTAGCCACGTGAGCGTGTCCCACTTAAGTAACAGGGTGCCCCTCAGGTCAGCCTGTGATAAAATCCAAGTCAAACAAGGCTGAATCCTAGATGTTTTATGTCCTAAGGATCTGAAAAGTGTTCTTGGCCAGCCCTGACCCTCAAGACCTCAAATGGTCATCTAAGCAGTAACATAAATTGGTGTACACTTGCTCTTGGGCCATTGCTGTGGAAGCAGAACTGGCAGAAGTACAGCCTTTCCATGGAGGAACTAATGTCTTTCTAGGCACTAAAAATAAGGGTGAATGTGTTGATCACGACAGGCAATCCAACTGTGGTGGCTATGTGCCCAAGGCTGACAAATTCTGCACCTTATCACTGCATTCAAGTGGAGATGCATGTGAATATCGTCGGCCCAAAAGAATTGAGAAAACAACTTGCCTTCCAAAACTTCATCTCGACAAAACCTTGACCATGCCAACAGCTCATCATCTCATGTTTTTCAACCCTCCAGAAAATGGCCTTCCAGCCTGGGACAAACCGAAGCACTGTCCAGACCGAGAACACGACTGGAAGCTAGTAGGAATGTCTGAAGCCTGCCTCCATAGGAAGAGCCATCCGGAGAGGTGCAGCACGCTGAAAAATGAACAGTCATCGCCACATCTCATCCAGGCCACTTGGACTAGCTCAATATTCCATCTGGACCATGACGATGTGAGCGATCAGAGTGTCCCGAGTACCCAGACCTTCCAAACGGAAGAGAAGAAATGTAAAGGTAACCAGATTCTTACTAGACCCTATCCAGTGTTTCAACAAGGAAAAAAAAAATCTCTGTTGTAACTACATGCTCAGTCTTCATTTATTCTGTTATGAAGTGTTTTATTCCCAAATCTTCTTTTAAATATATATAAATAAGTGGTTCCCAAAAGAAAGTAGTTAATTTCAGTTTCATGCCGTGCTGGGATACAGGGAGAAGACGTTTTTGTTTCTCTAGTGGAACGGTTGTTAGTTTGGGTTTTAATCCTATGTTTTGAATCTGAGTAGAAACAGACATTGCTATCATTATAGAACTACTTGCTTTGAAATGTGTGTGTATGTGTATGTGGTGTGTGGTATGTGTGTATGGTGTGTGATGCAGTGTGTATATGAAATGTCTGTGGTGTATGTACGTGGTGTGGTGTGTATGTGGTGTGATGTGTAGTGTTTGTGTATACATTTCTTTCCCCAACAGTGCCAGTAGTTTGTAAGATCTCGAAGTCTACCCTTAACCTAAATAGACAATTCATGTTCAAAAGAGAGGTTTTAAGTTGTTTTTGTTTTTTTAACTCATTAAATCCCTGTGTCATCATCCTGAAAGGCTAGATTATGGTTTTAGGAGGTTGTCACCTCATAGAAAACATGTTAAACTGGCATAAGTTCCTGATTACATGAGATTTAACTGGCCTTTACCTCAGGTCACCTCTACCCTGACAGATGTCTTTGTGCTGATCGCTTTATTGTCTTAGGGCTCCCCAAAATCTTTGCTTCTTAAGTTAGTCTTTAAATGTCCAAGAAATTAACTTGTGTCTTTAAATGTCCAAGTCCATATAACTTCTTATTCTTTTTGATTCAGCATTTTTTTAAAAGGGTGGGACCTTTGTTTTTTATTTAAAGATTGTGACTCATGATAAAACTTTAAATTGTGTATTTAAAAATTTAATCATGTACCAAAATATACGTAATCACGTACCAAAATATATGGACAAAAGTTTGTAAAAGACTCCTATGTATGAGCTATGAAAATCTGTTGCAAACTATTCTAACTTAAACATAAACACATAATTATATTTATCCCTCTCAAAAAAACTGCTGGTCCTTTAGCTTTTCTGAAAATACTTCAAAAGCTCCTTGGAACTACCAGTTGACCTGGGAAGTTGAGTGTGCAGATTGTTTCAGATTAAAATAATAATGAAATAGTGGTATAACCTCTGATTGGAGAACAGTCAAAACTATCGATATTCTCTTTAGGAAGATTTGTGTTTGTCTCTCATCTTTATTATTTAGGAGATTTGAGAAATTGAAAGGGCTATTTAGAAAAAGAGCAAAATAAGTTTTTTCACATGAGTCAGGATATAGAACAGGTATGTCTGTGTTGGTATGTGCACGTTGGTTTGAAATACAATTGCGATTTAGTCTTAGAATTTGCAACCAGATTGTATCTTCAGATTTTATGAGCTGGCATCAAAACCATGTCAGTCCTTGGTTTACAGTGAAATGCCAACAGGAAATTTAGTATCCTCATAATTTAAGAGCCTCACAAACTAAATTTGATTTACTCACAATTGGTACCCATATTTATTCATTTATTCATTTATTTGATCATAGATACTGTCTATGTCTCAATCATTTATGAGAAATCTTGGCCTTGGGTATTTATAGTTCCCTGCACTACATGCTTTTCAGTTTGTTGGTACACCTTAAAAGCAAAATTGGAAGGAGTTTCTAGTTAGGTCCAAGACCCTAAGTATAATACAGTGGTTAAGACCATAAATTGTTGAGTCTGACATATTTGGGCTAGAATCCTAGCCCTTCCAAATTTCTGTCCTTGAGCAAATTTATATGATTATTGATAAAACTAAATACGATAATATTTTTAAACATTTAGCACAGTACCTCTCATACAGTGCTCTTTAAATAGCAAGTATCATTATTATTAGCTGTGCATCATTAAATCGCATAAATTCCTTGGGCTCTGCTGTGTGCCTGGTAAGGAAGGCAGAAGGGAGCAAGACAGATGAGTGTGAGGTGGGACATAATGTTTCAGGAAGGTTAGAGTTGATCATCCATTTTGCATTCATTCAGCTCTCTTCTACTGGAAGTCAGAGAATTATTTAATTTAAAACATAATTAAATTATTAAAGTCCTTCCTCAAGAATTTCATATTAAAAGGAAAACAACTAAGATAAACTCTCCTGTAGTTTTCAGAGTACTCAGAGTTCACCTTGGCATGGACGTCGGCCAGCACCTTGGCTCAGCATGAAAATGCTACCAGGAAGTCTACATTGTCCTGGCCCCAAAACCTTATGAACTGAACATTCATTCTCACTGGACACCTATATTTAGTGAGGCACTGGTGAGGCCAGGGAAACAATGTTCTTTTTTTTGGGGGGCGAGGGGGTAGGGAGTTGATTCTTCTTGATCTACTTGACTTGCCAGCAAGCTCTATGTAGTCACTGTGAGGAGAGGTCTTTTTTGATAGACATCTATGCTGGGCATTTATTTCCTGGATATCTCTCTCTAGTCCGCAGGCATGCTTGATATCTCAGTCCTGATATCTCAGTCCTGGGCTATAATTCCATGCATTCAACCCATCAGTGTTTTTATTGAGTACTTACTATGTGCGGGAGATTGTCCTTGATGTTTGAGCATAAAGAAATAATAGGGCTAAAAGAACATCTAAGTAGCCCCATTGCAAGGCCCCCAAATGGAATTGATAAGAACTAAGAGGTCTTCAAGGATACAAAAAGTTAGGGCTCTACACTGCAGGAGCCAGAAAAACAAATTGACTGCTTGAAGAGGCATAATAAGCCCATCTCCCAAATCAGTAATCTGGCCAGTCTAGATCTGTGTACCTGTAAGTGTGGTTTGTGGACGGGTATCCTTTTGCAAACTATTACTTTTACCACTCTCTGTTGATGCAAGTACAGAAACTGAGAGAAAGCTTTAGAAACTTACAGTAATTTGACATTGCCACTGACATTCAAATGTGTGATTTACGCTGCTGAACAGGGTATAGACCAGTTGTGTATTGTAAAACTTGCCTGTCAGTCATACATAGCCAGAGCTTTGTAAAAGTCTTGTAGGACCATAACAAACGATATTTTTTTAACTGGTCCTTCAATTCAAATAATTTGAGAATCACTGCTTTATGCTTTATAGTATCCTTAATGTTTTATTTTTTTAGTCTTATTTTTGATATTTATCTAATGTTTTATTTTTTGTTTTGGTCTGAATGCTGCTTTCATTTTAACCTGCATACACTTGTGCTCTTATCGGCTTCGGTCATTCTAAGGAAATTAATGGATAACACGTTTAACTAGAATGAGAGTTCTGGAGACTTTACATTCTGCTACAGAGCCCACAATTCAAATCTGCTTTAGGACCAGAGGCTATTTCCGTCCAGAAGCAAGTTGACCCCATTCTCTTGCCCCAAGCCACCCTCTGTCTCCACACTACACCTGACTGGAGTTTTTGTAACAATTTGAACTGATAGCTCAGCCACCAGGGCCACATCCTTCTCCTGCCCACCTTCATTCTCAGAGTCTGAGATAATATATTTGGTGGTGCTCACAGTTCTTCCAACTAGTGGCAATAGCAGCATCTGGAGCTTGCTGGAGATGCAGAATCTCAGGCCCCGCCCCAGACTATTGAATTGGAAACTCCGGAAAGGGGCTCAGGAACCTATGTTTAACTAGCCCTCCAAGTGATTCTTAAAACCTGGGTATGAGGAAATGCCTGAAAATACTGTACTCAAGCTCTTAGTATAAGAAAGGATCTGCCACCTAGTGGACACTAAGAGAATGCACATTTTTCTTCCAGTCCTTGACTCACCTGGGGAGCCACCTGAGTCTATTCAGTCTTGATTGGGCCCTCCTCGAGGCCTAGTTTATTACCTTAATTGCCAACTAAATGTTCTGCTTAGTCAGTCGACCTTGCAACACCTCCCTCTGGGGCTTGAGCCCTTCCAAGAGTCCCACTCTATTTGCCTGAGGCCCTGATCACCTCAGTTCTTATATTGCACAAGGCTTCTCCACTCAGCCCTTTTACACTCTCCTGAACTCCTCTCTGGAAACTACAGGGTCCCACAAGTCCCACAAG